CCACCATTCCCTCCATACATCAATCGTTGTGAGGCTTTTTCTTTTGTAGCCCCAAGTGTGACTGAACAAGAGATCCCTCTTCCAAATAATGTTCTAGATGTTTCTACTAAAGATGGATTGCCTCATGTGCTTCAAGAGCGATGCCAGATGTTTCTTCAAGATCTTGCTCCCGATATGGTTGAAACTTTTGAAAGAATGAACACATATTATCTCCAGTGTCCCATCTGCTACTTTTATTTAGATAAAACGGAGGGCTGTATGGGTCTAGAAACTTTTCGAGAACATTGTCACAACTGCCCAAGAACTGATGTGGAAGGTGTGCATAAATGGATGTATAAGAAAATCAAGAAAGAGTTAAGAACACACAATCATTATCATTTCATGGTGAGGAACAATATTCCGTTAGTAAATCCTACATCCACAAGTTATGGTATTTTTAGGCCATCCTACTGAAAATTCCAGCCACTAATAATTCTTACACTATGATATTATTCATCCGCCCCCCCCCCCCCCCTCACCTTTTTTTTATTAACAAAATTGTATTACCTATAGATAATAAACTGATAATACTAGTAATTATGAAATTTGACAGACTGACACTGTAACTTTGTCATCTCTGACACTGACACTGTCTCTGTCACTGACACTATCACTGTCGCTATCTGCTACACTGACATTGTCAGTGTCACAATCATTATCACATTGACATGTGACACATCTTTCTCATTGCATTCAATTGTCTTTTAATGTATCATTAATAAATAGATTTTTCATACCACTCCTCAATTTACACATTGCATATGATATGCCATGCATACCTAGGAAGAACTTCTAGACTCCATATTTTTTGAAGGATCGGCAACCAATCCTCCCCTCTGTGACACCATTGGTGTTGGATTCAAGTGTCGGTTTTGCAAGAATGCTCTATTGTGTCGTGCCATCTGCGGGGCCAAGATGTACTATTTTCTTCCACGGGATGGAAAGGTTGGTAGAGCTGCAGTACATATTGGCACGCACACACATCCAATGCAGGAAGGGATACAAAGGAGTTCAGTCAACCATTTCAAAGATGCAGTGCAGATAGAGACTATGAGAAACTCATCTGCAACTCTGAAGCATGTTCAGAAGACAGTGCTCAAGGATTTTATCGCAAATACTTTACTTGATCCGGACTACAAGAATACTCAACTGGATGAGGCTAGCTTGCGGGAGTTACTATGACATGTGCAACCTGCAACTAGCCTCAGGAGGTATGAAAATATTATTACATACTTTTCAATAATATCTCTCTTACATTTTGTTTCATCCAGGATAACGTCTCGGATGTGTGAATCTCGAGAGGGGAAACTCCAATCAGAAATTGACTCAATCCTTGAACTAAAACGGACTTGTCCCTATGAGTTTATCCATGGGAGTTTATTTCCAGATCAAGTCGTTAGTGAGCAAGAGCGCCCCTTCGTTTTCAAAATGTCTACCATGGGCCCTGCCTCTGGTGTGGATCTTGTTTCCCGAATGGATATGTCTGGGTCGAGTGACCTTGCTAATGCATGGGTACATTTTGACCATATGGAGCGGGTGGCAGGTTGGACAACCATGGGAGCTCATGTGTATGATCCAAGGTAGTTTTTTTTCTCATTATCTTAAAATGGTTTTAAACATTGCACTTTTCACAGGCTACGTTGTAACTTGACAATTGCAACGGCAGAGTTTAAAGTACAAGACCAGATGGCTCAAGAAATATTTTGGAAGTCCCTCTCCGACATTGTATTGAAGCGGACTGGTAAGCCTGCCAACTTTCGCGGTTTTATGGCAGATGGGGCTGGGGCTAATTGGAATGGTGTCCGGGCAGTCTTTGGGAATGGTCAACCATTGGAAGGTCGTGAAAGGACTTGTGAGTTCCATTGGGCTCAGAGCCTAAACCAACACTGCCATCTTATCAAGCCAGATTTCCAATTAGCATTTAAGGAGTTGTGCAAACAATGGCAGGCTGCACCTTCTGAAGAAGAGCATGAGGCAAAAGCAAACGAGATCCGAATGTGGTGGCGTGAAGATGGCCATACTGACGTAAGTTGTCTACCACAACTTGAGTCGTGGTTGGGGTGGTGGGAAGTTAGAATGTTCCAATGGGGACATCACTCTTTTCAGGTTGGTTTTGCTTTTTTTCCTCTCTTTTTATTGCTTTTTAATATCATCTTTTTATAAGGATCAACCACTTGAGGATCTTGCATACACCCCAACTGTGAATCTCTCAGAGAGTAAATATTGGAACTGGCGTTCCTCTGAGGCAGGGAAAGGGAAGATGAGTCTATATGAAGCATGTCTATCAGATTTGATACGCGCTGTAGAGCAGTCTTCAAAAGCCTTGGCATTTGAGGAAGGAAGATACATGGGAACAGGACCTTCGGTTGAGATGTTACAAGATCGGATGAAGAAGAAAGTGACTCCACTAGCACGAACAATGGCAACTGCAGTGGAGGAAGTGGTCCGTGGCACATCTATGGAGTACACTCCTCGGGCTTCTATTGGTGATATGAAGACCGTCCGTTCAAAGCGTCGATTTTCCTTTGCTGGTGAAGATGTTGGCACGGATCTTGGAGCAAAAAGCTCTCACACACCTGATGTTGAGTATCATTCTGCTCCAAGACATCACCCCAGAACCGAACCACCTCAAGTGGCTGATGAAGAAAGTGCATCACAGCAGGTTGAAATTGCTTATCGTAGTGTGGAGCCGAAGCAATGGGCAATCCGTTGAGTGCCAGCGAAATCAAATGTAAGGTGTGTGGGGATGCTTCCAAGGGGCAAGTGTTGGGCTTGGATCCGTGGTGATAAGTCTGCTTCTGTTCCAGCCCCATGTTTCCATGGGGAACGAAAGCAAGCAGGATTTTCAAGATGGTGTTGGTTATATTGCTGCAACTCTGATGTCAACCATACAAAGCGGCTTGAAGACACTATAGTGACTAAACCTGATGCAGTACCTAAAGAATGGCCAGTTGCTAATGGGGTTGCGCTCACCTCGGATGAGATTGAAAACCTTGAGAAATCTGGTTTCAATCTTGAAAGGAGAGTTGGAGATATGAGTGACAGAACCAAGAATATTCCTACAGAGATGCACAGGAGGCCAGCACGAAAAGGTAAGGCAGTTAAATTTATTGGTACCGTCTCCAAGCAGAAGCAAGGTAAAATAAACTTGGCTCAAACACTTGAGTGTGAGATTCTCTCCACGAAGTACATCACTGCGCTCACAAAGGAGTACACAGTCAAAACAGAAGGTGGAGAGTACACAATTGCCATTCAAGACTTTCCTTCTTGCACATGTCCAGACTTTACGAAGCGCGAGGAACATGGGAAGGCATATGCTCCTTGCAAGCATATGTACTACATCTTCATCAACATCTTGCACCAGGATCCTAAAGTGGATATTTATATATACCAAGCAAGCCTTACTATTGCCGAGTTGCAGAAAACTTTTGGAGCTAATTAGATTTTCCAGCACTATCGATGTTTATTCTCTATCAATAATATAAACTAATTATACTTTATATAATTAATAAAAATATTTTATTATTTCACTTTTCATTTCATATACTTGTGAGGTTCTTTTTGTAATATTACCCATAGTATTTGTGAGTCTCCATTTTTATCTTTACCTTCTCAAAAAATATTTCGAGATAGTCTTTCGGGTGTATGATGTTACAATGTATTGTGAGAGCATATGTACCATCACAGTTGTTTTTTTTTCCTTTCAAATGGTTATATGGCCTTATATAGAATCTTAAGTCAAATTTAATAATTTTAAAATTCTGATGAACCTGACATTTACTAGCTAGAAAGCACAGTGTACAAATTTAAAGAAGTGACAAGAATACTCTTTTTGCAAACATTTTATTTTATATTCTAACAAATGTCTCTATTATTGCATGTAGTAAATATTTAAATTATTAGAACAAGAAGTGTCCTTTAGAACATTTTTATCTATATAATATATAGAGAGTTATGAAATTATTAAGTTCGCCATAACTTTAAAATTTTAAAGTTTATAATGTTTGTACTAAATTACAATTGAAAATTGAGCTCAACTCGTGAGCTCAACTCTTCAGCTCGTGAGCTCAAGTATGGTCCACGCTTCAGGTGACTAAGGCTGTGCCGACTGAATGTGCTTCAAAGCATTTAAGAGCTTAAATCGCCTCGTCCCATTTCCTGGCAGTGGAGTAAGAATGAAGATCATACAAATTCTACGCACCACAAATACCTTGCTTTGATGGAACTCCTCACAAATAACAACTTGCAATGGGGTTCTCAAGAGCAAAGACACCAGCATTGACACAGCGCCTCCGATTTGGATTGCGAATCGGCAGCAGCGGCAGGGGCTCTCTCGTCGTCTCAAAAACCCTAGAAAAACATACAAAACAAAACCAAGCTGGATCACGACACAATCAAGCTCAAATCCCAGCCAGCAGCAACGATTTGGGAGTGGATTTGCTTACCCACTGGAAGAAATTGCGGTCCACAGCATGCTCCAAGGGCCGCGACGGACTTGATCCTGCCCGGAGTGATGCGTGGAGCAGCAATCTCCGGTCAACACTTTGCATGTGCCACGTGTTGGTGGGCCTTTTTCTCCCACCACACACAGCTTGGCTGCCTCCCATTGGCCGGGAGCAAACATTAGCGCTATTATTCACTAACACGTGGTTAAAGAAATAACCCCTTTACAGTTACCCCCCATAGGTTATCGTGAGATTTAGCAAAAAAAGTGTGACGGATTGGATATGGCACTTTTGGGCGAGCGGGATTTCTAGGGCATTGCGAGGTGTTGTCGCCCTAGCTACAGCGGTGTCAGGCTTGTCGCCATAGCTCAAGAATCTGGAGTTTGAGGCCGCCGCTCGAATCGCTGTGCACATCAAGGAGAGTGGATGCGCTGCTGCTGGAAAAGACCGATGGCTTCTAGCGTGGTAAGAAAAAGTTTCATGTAACTGATTCGGGTCAGGCTTGATACTAAACTGCACCTTCAGCGCAGCAAGAGGTATCTCTTGTTTTGTTTTCTCTTCTTTATAACCGCAGCCCTTGTTCTAGCTTGCAGGAATGAAAGTGGTGGTTGTTTTCGATGCAAAGGAATCAGGTCTGCCATCACACAGAGAATCCAGAGCAAGGTAGACTCCACTCGACTTCTTTCTATTCCTTTTGGTTTCTTTTTTTGTCCTCTGGGATTTGTCCTCTGGGATTTGATTACGCTTTGTTTCTGCAGTGTTGACATCGTGTTTGCGGCCGACGCTTGCACCGATTCATGGATCAAGCGTGAGGTATTTTAGATGATTCTTGCATCATGGCTACATAAATTTCCGCTTTGACTGATATCTTTCGGCAGGTCTACTTGTTGAGAGATGACGGCTGCCCCAAGATCAGAGTCATAACATCCGATTCCCTTCATCAGCAGGTTGCAAACGGCACGGTAAATTCATGAAAGTCAGAGAACAAAACAATGGCTTATTTTCTGCAAAGATTCTTATTGGTTTTTTTCTCTAGTCTTTGACAGGGTGTGTATGTATGGAGCTGCAAAGGTTTGATTGGAGAGGTGAGACGCTCAGCTCAGCTTTAAAGCCAATGGCTTTTTAAGTTCCTGAGCATTTCAATTTGCTTGTTTAGATCAAGGACGTGAGGAAAGAATTGGAGCAGCTGTTACATTCCGACAGGTGATGTTACATTACGGCTGACCTTCACTGCCAATCATGGCATCCATAGCAAGTGTAGCTCTTGGTCCGCCCATGTCATCTTCTTCAAGACCAAGTGCCAGGTACTGCGAGAAAACAGGTAAATCGCTTGGGACAACTGGGAGTCCCAAGCGAGGAGATCACAGGTCTTGTGTATTTACAGCAATGAATTTAATTGATTGTTTTCTCATCTCCAGGGATATAGAGATTTTTTTGGAGAGGATTGTCTATCCACTCAGCTCCTGATCAAGATTATGATTTTTATGACCAGGCTTTTCAGTTCGCCCAAACTTTTGATTTATGTCCAGGCTATGGTTGACATTTGTGAGATTGGAAATATAGTACTGGGAGAATTGAAGAGCCCTGAGGAAGAAATTTGAGACTCTAGGCTGAATTACACAGAGGACGAAGAGCTTGAGAAGCTAATACATGGAAATGTCTACATGGTCGATTATCCTGGTGAAGGTACTTCGAAATTTGCTCAGTGGTTAGTTTTTTCATAAGTTGTGATACAGGTAGCAAAGACTGTAGAATTGGCAGAAGGGTCGTTCTTTCCGGTGATTTTAATCCATTGCATGAAGGTCATCTTACACTGATGAGCATGGCATGCACGTAAGTTTCCTGAAAAAAAAATGTTTTTGTTGGTCTAATGTAAGTTACAGCCTTGTGCAAGGCAGCAATCCAGGAAGCTCTGGACGTGGCAGACGATGCCTTTCAAGCCTAGCTTTGTGACATGATGACGTTGCTGGCCTGCTGCAAGCAGTGGGGCAATGCAGCGATTGGGAAGCTCGCATTCTATAGAGTCTTGCAAGAGACTTTGAGGTTGTAATAATACAATGGATCCCATAAACAACTATGCAGCAAGCTTATAGACAATACATTGTATAAACAAAAAATGAAAGCACATGGGGAATAGGAAATGAAAGCACACTGGAATAGGAAATAAAGTGCACAGTACTCTAATCAGCCTTGAATGCAATAACTTTTGGTGAGCTTTGATAGGCACCAGTTGAAAATAAGAAATGGCCTGTTGGTGGCTTCTTTGTCTCCAAAAGTTTGATTGCTTCAAGCATTCGAGTAGAAGTGAACATTCTTAGAAACTGGCTAGGAGTGAGACCATATGCTTGGTCTATATAAGTGTCCTCCATGCAAACATCTTGGGGGTGGCTAGTATCTGGATAGAATTTGCCATGGACTCGCAAAGTTTGAAAAAACATTCGTTCGTTTTTGCAATGGTGGCACCAACTAATATTTCGTGTTTGTTTCTCGACCCTAAACTTTTTGCAAACATGGCAGCCGCAACAAACAGAGATTGCTTGAGGGTTTTCAGGGATGAAATGGCCATACACCTATTGACAAAACATGTGTTTTGAACGGTTGGTATACATCAAGAGAGACGTACCCCAAAGAAGTTCTTTTCGTATATGAATGAGACAGAGTGCAACTGCTTCTGTATATGATCCCAAGGTGTATCGTTAGGAATTTTTAAGACAATAGTCGAGGGTGCAATCCTGAACACATTTTTATCTTTAGTTCCTCAGAGATTGTAGAAAATACAGCTTGGCATGTCCCCAGCAAACCATGATGATTTGAGCTCATGATAGACATGGTCCATATCACCCAGCACATGCACCTATGTTTGAAGTTCACCAAAAAATCTAGTCAGAATATTATAAATACCTTATAGGTTTTTTCAGCTTCAGGATCATCAGCAATGAATATGATGTTTGTAGTGTTAGGTGTTTGATCTACACTAGTGATTGCCCCAGCAACCATTGAAGAAGTATAAGCAGAAGCATCCACTGCAAACTGACTCAGTGGAACAATGTCTGATGGTCTAACAAAATCAAGCACTGGAGGAGCCTTCTCTGGCCATGCTCGAACATGTGTGGCCATAGAAATATCTACTAAGAGACAATGGAGCCCCAAATGATACTTCGGATTTTTAGCTCTGACTTTGTAGTGTTGAATACACAGCTAGTTAGATGGCTTGAAAAGGTGGCTGTATTTATCAGCAGCATTGGCTGCCATTGAAGCTGTTGCAAGGTGCATGCCATAGTTGTCAGTGAAATCGATATTAAGGAACCTTGATGTTGATGCCATGCTTGTTGAGTGGATCTCATGTTGGAAATCATAGCTACCGTACCAAGATAATACATATATAAGAAGCGGCTCACCACCTGAATGGAGCTATAGATCCACAATATGAACACATGCATATTGTGTTTCCTTAGAAGAAGCAATCAGATTCCATACGCCAGGGTCTTGAATGCTATATAATTTGCACTTAGCTAAAAAAGCCCATTAGAAACCCATAACTAAAAATTGAGTAGTACCTCCTAAAATCCCACGGGGCACTTGGCTGGAAGTCTGTGTCTGAGCATCTGGATCTGGCCATAGAGAAGGTTTATGAAGCAAAAAAGCTAAGTGCCAGTACCTGCTAAAATACCAAAGGGACTTTGGAAATGTAACGGCTGTAACGGCTGTTTGAAGTCTGCTTGTACACCTATTTGTTAAGCTGTAAAGCACTGTATTGGAATAGACTAAGTACCTGAAGCACTAAGCTGTGTAAGGTGCTCAGATCCTGGAAAGAAAAGTGATTAAATTCTGATTTATCAAGATAAACACAAACCTGGTTCATTGCTCTCTCCACCCATCTCTACATCACCTAGAACTTGTTGCTGCTGTGAAGAAACATCATCTGGCGATGGCTAATAATTGTAATCTACATGATCTTGAGACCCCACATCAGAATCGCTAGCTGCCGCTGCCATCGGAGAGGGCAATCCTGAATGAAGCAATTGATGAACTTTGAGTTAATCACAACCGTTGGCCCAAAGGCCTGCTTAATTATTGCCACGTCATTAGGCACATGCAAAACTAATATAACTATTTCACTCGATGAAGGCGTCCAAAATGTATTCCACTTCTTGTCTTCAGTGGGAGCATCAGCAGATGATAATGATGAGAGGCAGATGATCGTCGTGGATGGCTGGCTGGAGTTTGAGGCCACAGCTCGAATCACTGTGCACATCAAGGAGAGTGGACGCACTGCTGTTGGAAAAGACCTATGGCTTCTAGAAAAAGTTCCATGTAACTGATTCGGGTCAGGCTTGATACTAAACTGCACTCCCAGGAATTCTTTGATGGTCGGGAACAGCAACCCCTATATGGCAAACAGGAAAGTTTGTGAGATCGACTTCTTTCCTTTCCAGCTTCATAGATAGATACTTGGTGAGTTGAATCTACAACTCCTCCCAACTTTATCTCCTGTAGCAAGGTCATGGCTGCTTGCGTCCCCAGGTCCTCTGGAAGCTGGAGCTCGGATGCTCCAGAATGCATAGCCACGCACTCGGAGCTTAAAATGCAGCCGGTGGTCGTTTCTGCCACCAGTGAGATCCCATAGCCTGGAGATCTGTGCCATGACAAAGGAAGCAAGATGAAAAAAGTTTACCTTGCAGCACAAAATCATGGAACTTACTTCCCGGACTCCAAACCAATGTAGTGATCAGTAAAGATGTACACGTTGAGGAGCAAGTGCTTTAGCACGCCACATTCGATTGGCCATATGAGGTGAGACGGGTGTGGAGTAACTCACTCCTCGGATACGTTTCACCATGCCCTCGTCCACCCATGTAGCAGCCTGGTGAAGGATTCTTAGCGAGGAGAGAAAGAAAAGAAGAGGAGTTTGGAGAAACTGGCCGTGAGGCTCTTGGGGACAATGGGAACTTTGAGGACGACTTCACTGCCACCCAAGGGAGGAGCTTCGCGGGCAACAACCTTGAGTTCTAGGCCTTCGATTGGAACACCAAAGTGCTTAAGCATTGGCAGTGTTGCTGTGCAAAAGGTGTCGGTGCAGGGATCCCTACTGTCATTCGTAATGCCTGTCACAGGCCACAAACAATTCTTCCAGGAGCAAAATCCTGCTACTACTGTCTTCATCCCTTGGAACACACAAATCGCGCCTTGCAAGCTGCCACACACGGCATACATGTCAATCAGTGCAGTAGACACAATCAAGCTCAAATCCCAGCCAGCAGCAATGATTTGGGAGTGGATTTGCTTACCCACCGGAAGAAATTGCGGTCCACAGCACGCTCCAAGGGCTGCGACCTACTTGATCCTGCCTGACCAGCAATCTCCAGTCAACACTTTGCATGTGCCACGCGTCGCCGGGCCTTCCTCTCCCGCCCCACGTGGCTTGGCTGCCTCCCATTGGCCGGGAGCAAACATCAGCGCGATTATTCTCAAACATGTGGTTAAAGAAATAACCCCTTTACAGTTACCCCCCATCGGACGGCCCCGATTGGCTGGATCCGGCAGCCCACAAAGTTCGGCGTTTGCTCCTTATAGTTCATTATTGTTTGCTTAACAAAAAATCTTAATCATATACTCTACAAGGTTGAGATTATTGATGAAATAGATAGGATACTTTACTATTAGTTGAATATCTTGAGGCTCTACAATGAGTTACACAATACTAATACATATTTGTCTTTTAAGACTAATAGATCACACTAGATGATGATGAAAAGCTGAGGTGAATGGCATTTAAAATTATTGCCATGGTGCAAGATAAGGCTCTAATACAACATTATGGGGAAGAATTGCAATATGGTCAATTGCTAGTCCACCTTAGCAAAAGTCTCCAGGAAAAACCAATATCCTTGAGATGCAATGCGAATACTTCCACCCTTTCCGATTCTTGAAATCTGGGATGGGGATTCCATTCCTGGGCTGCAAGGAAAAGGAGTGGGGATCGCCACACGCTTCAAGTTGCGACCCAAGTGTGACAAGTCTTTGATCATCGTTTCCCCTCCTTTGCAAGACACACCGGTACAGGCGGTGAGTGATCAATTCCTCTGGGTCAAGCTTGTCCAGAATCTTGTCTGCATAGTATTGCATAGCGCAGTAAACACAACTATCTTGTAGAGCTTTGCCATGTCTCACAGGAACTCGTCCATGCCGGGCCACTTAGCCAAGCGCTCCAGTGGCACAACTTTCCCGCTAAAGAGCCTGAGCGTTGCCCTTGTCGGGCATGGATGAGGGTGTTGTCCATGTCCAAAACCAACATTGGCTTGTTTGGATCCAGAGGTGGCGGTAGAATACATGTAGTAAACTCACCCTTTGTTTTGACCTTCTTGGGCTGTGGCCTTCTTGGATCTGAAAATCCCAATCTCCATGCTCGCACTTCATTTTCGACAGAACCAGAGGTAAACATCAGCCTTTTTGTATTAAGGGCTGGCTTGAGCTATCCAAACATGATGATCGGTCACTTGCTCACTAAGCGAGCCTGGGTAAACTCTTTGAGCTTCTCGATCTGTGGCAGTGCCACTTTGGCCGAGGGATGCTCGGTCACAGCCCCGAAGAGTTTGTGGAGACGCGGGCATTGCTCCTGGCTCGCGGGCTTCAAGCCCACCACTTGCTCAAGCGCTGGGATCCACACCGTAGAGGGTTCCAAGAACGACATGCTCGCGCCACCAAAGAAGGGGCCCTCTTCCTCATCGCCCAGCTCCGCCAGAGCTCCCTCGAGAAGCAAACAGTCTTGGATGAACTCCTCGTTCACTAGGCAAGCTCATTGGATGGTCAAAATCATGGAGTTTGGGGAGTTTCCTATTGAGCATTGTCCGGGAAAAACAAATGTGGTGGCAGATGCTTTATCTCGTGTTCGTCATGTGATGACGTTACGAACACGATTTTGTCATCATTTGAGTAAGGTGGTTAGCGAGTTTGGGCAATTGGTTGAGCATGCTCAGGCTCAGGATGCTGAGGTGGCCTCTTTGCGAGACCAGATGGAAGCTCCTTTCTCATTGGTGGATGGGATTCTCTACTACAATGGCCGTGTCTATTTGCCACAGGTGGATGCGTTAATTACTCAAGTTTTATTCCACTATCATGATCGTTCAGAGGCCGGTCATTTTGGGGGGAAGAAGACGTATGAGTTGATTAAGCACAACTTTTATTGGAGGAATATGAAGGCTGATATCCTCAAGTATTGTAAATCATGCGAGCTTTGTCAGCGGGTTAAGGTGCCACGGGAGAAGCCAGGGGGACTTTTGCAACCTTTACCTATTCCTCAGAGCCGTTGGGTAGTATCTCTATGGACTTCATCACTTGTTTGCCACGAACACAGAGGCAAAAGGAGCAAGTATGGGTCATAGTGGATTGGTTGACGAAGTATGTGCGGTTGTTGGCTCTTCGGAAGACTGTCACTGCCTTAGACTTGGCTACGGTTTACTTGGAGAAGGTTTTTCCTGATTTTGGTTTACCGGAGGAAATCATTAGTGATCGAGATTCAAAGTTCACCAGTGGATTTTGGAAAAGCTTTGCAAAGGCTATGCAAGTGACATTGAAACTCTCAAATGGAGATCATCCTCAGACGGATGGGCAAACTGAGCGTGTGAATCAGGTGGTGGAGGATATGCTACGTTGTAGCATTGGTCAAAGGCAAGGACAGTGGGATCTATATCTTCCGTTGGTGCAATTTGCTTACAACAATAGCCAACACAATGGAACCAAGCTAAGTCCTTACTTTGCCATGTTTGGAAGGCATCCTCGAACAGCGGTGGAGTTGGGATTGCATTTGAGTAAGGACGTTCAAGATAAGCTTGATTCCGAGGCAACTGATCTGGCCACAGAACTTGATGAGATTCTGGTGGTGTGTAAACGGAATTTGCAAGCAGCTCAGGATAGAGCGGAGAAGTTTGCCAATGAGCATCGCCAATTCCGGGAATATAAGGTGGGTGATCTCGTCTTTGTGCGAGTGATCTTTCCGTCAAGTGAGCGGTGGAACACCTTGGTGCCTTTACGGACAGGGAAGAGTGATAAACTTTCCCATCGATATGTTGGTCCATATGAAGTGCTAGAGCGCATTGGTAAAGCGGCTTATCGAGTGCGGCTGCCAGTTGGGGTGAAAATTCATCCAGTATTTTATGTCAGCCAGTTGAAAGGTGTACTATCTCGGAGTGACGGGCCCAATGCCTCCTTGATGTATACGGTTGTGGAAGATGGACCAGGAGCTTGAGCAGGATTCCACAGAAAGGGTGATCACCGGTACAACTCGTCCTTGGGACAAGGACTTTGTTGGGGGGAAAGAATTGTTAAGCGCCAGCTTTGACTACATGGTCAATGACGGTCAAAGGGAGGCTCAAGGGTATATTAAGGCATGTTAGGGTAAGGGACTTAACCTACCCTAGGGCTCACAGTGGAGCGGCGGCGCAGTGGAGCTTTTGAGGTAGCTCGGGGGTGGTTGGGTGGTGAGGAACCTCAAGAGGTGGCGTAGCATAGTCTAGGGCAACTAGATCTTTGTCTTTTTGCGCCGGATCATAACATTGAACTTTGAATCTCAATCACTAATGATTTCCTCCGGCAAACCAAAATTAGGAAAAACCTTCTCCAAGTAAACCGCAGCCAAGTCTGAGGCAGTGACAGTCTTCCAAAGAGCCAACAACTGCACATACTTCGTCAACCGATCCACTATGACCCATACTTGCTCCTTTTGCCTCTGTGTTCGTGGCAAACAAGTGATGAAGTCCATAGAGATACTACACCAATGGCTCTGAGGAATAGGTAAAGGTTGCAAAAGTCCCCTTGGCTTCTCCCGTGGCACCTTAACCCGCTGACAAAGCTCGCATGATTTACAATACTTGAGGATATCAGCCTTCATATTCCTCCAATAAAAGTTGCGCTTAATCAACTCATACGTCTTCTTCCCCCCAAAATGACCGGCCTCTGGACGATCATGATAGTGGAATAAAACTTGAGTAATTAACGCATCCACCCGTGGCAAATAGACACAGCCATTGTAGTAGAGAATCCCATCCACCAATGAGAAAGGAGCTTCCATCTGGTCTCGCAAAGAGGCCACCTCAGCATCCTGAGCCTGAGCATGCTCAACCAATTGCCCAAACTCGCTGACCACCTTACTCAAATGATGACAAAATCGTGTTCGTAACGTCGTCACATGACGAACACGAGATAAAGCATCTGCCACCACATTTGTTTTTCCCGGACGATGCTCAATAGGAAACTCCCCAAACTCCATGAGTTTGACCATTCAACGAGCTTGCCTAGTGTTCAACTCCTTCTGTGTGAAAAGATACACAAGTGGTTTGTGATCTGTCAACACCACGAACACTGCACCATAAAGATAGTGCCGCCACGTCCGCAAAGCATGAACAATAGAGAGTAACTCTTGCTCATATGTGGAATAACGTTGCTCTGCGGAATTCAAAGTTCGACTCTCATATGCAATAGGCTGTCCCTCTTGCATGAGAACTCCTCCCAGTGCATAACCACTAGCATCGCATGTCACCTCGTAAGGTTTCGATGGATCAGCAATGCGAAGCACTGGAGCCTTGCTCAACAATCGTTTTAGCGCCACAAAACTCTCCTCTTGTGGCGTCTTCCACTCGAATGGCACATTCTTGCGTAGCATCCGCGTCAAAGGAATAGCCACCTTTGCAAACTTATGCTGGAAACATCGGTAGTAACTAGCCATACCAAGAAAACTGCGCAACTCGGCCACTGTAGTCGGTGTAGGCCAGTTTTCCACCACAACCACCTTCCTTGGATCCATCTTGACACCCTTAGATGTCACAATATGGCCTAGATATTCCACCTCCAACTTTGCAAATTCACATTTGCTCTTCTTCGCATAAAGTTTGCTGTCTCGAAGTAACAAAAGAACCTTGCACAAATGCACCCTATGCTCCTCCATATTCTTGCTAAAAACAAGAATATCGTCCAAGCAAACTCATGAAGATAACGCCCAAATACCTCCGTCATCAACCGAGTAAATGTGGCCGGTGCATTCGTCAAACCAAACGGCATAACTGTAAACTCAAAATGTCCGAAGCTTGTGTTGAATGCCGTCTTGGAGATAGATGCATCATCCATTGCAATCTGATGATATCCACTCCTCAGATCAATCTTGGTAAACACTCGTGCTTCACCAAGCTTGTCTAGGATATCATCCACACGTGGCATCGGCATCTTATCCTTCACTGTCTTCTTGTTCAAAGCGCGGTAGTCAATACACATTCACATTGAACTGTCCTTCTTCTTCACAAGCAAGACCGGAACACCAAATGGAGACTTACTTGGCTGAATGAATCCAAACTCAAGTAACTCCTTGACTTGTCGTTGAACTTCTTGCTCCTCCGCATAACTTAACCGAAATGGACGCTGGTAAATTGGCCGCGTCCCCGGCTCCAATGTAATCCCATGCTCCACACCTGGTAATGGAGGAAATCCATAAGGAAGTTCAGATGGAAAAACATCAGAAAACTCATCAAGTACATCCCGTACTACTGCTTCTCCCCCACACGTGCCTTGGTCCCCCAAGTCACGAACAAACAGCAAGTAACTTGAAAGTGCTTTTCCATTATGACAAGCCCGTGTCAAAGATGTAGCAGAGAGCATAGCAACTGGTGGTTGAACACCCTCGCCAAACCACACATCTTTAACGCTACCATACTCCAGCGAGATACGCTTAATGCTCCACTTTATCTCTGGATCCACCTTCACCAACCATGGCATCCCAAGAATGAGATCCATACGATGGATATCCGTGAGATAAAAAGTCTCCACATGTGTGGTTTTGCCAACCAACACTTCCAGCCCCTCGACATAAGCATCAAAATGCTGAGTAGAGGTAACTGCACCTTCCACTGTGTATGGAAGAACTCCACGTGTGTTCAGGCAATGCTCTGCAACAAACTTTGTCGAAACAAAGTTGTCATCGCTCCCACTATCCAGTAAAATCTGCACTGGATCGCCACGGAACACGCCCTCCAGCATTAAAGCTGATTCACGTGTATCCTCGAGCTCCATCTTGTTCCACACACAGTTGAGTTGACGAGCAACGATCGAAAGTCTCTTCCTCCGACCGGAATAGTCGTTCTCGTCATCCTCATGCTGTAAAGCTTGCAACTTTTTAGTATCTGACTTACCGTGAGAAGATGATTGGCCATTCTTCTTGTCCTGCTGCTTGTTCTTCAACTGCGGACAATTAGCCTTGTAGTGTCCAAGTTCGCCGCAATGATGACAACCTTGTCTATAATTCTTCACAAAGAACTTCTGCTTCTTGGACCCCTTTGCATCTAAAGTAGTCACCACTGACTTCAACTTGTGATGCTTGTTCCCATCCTTGTGTCCACGGTGATCATCACGACGATTCTCGACAGAAGGACTCCGCGAACGCTTGCGAGACTTGTGCTTGTCATTGTCAAGTCGACGAGCCGCATCAAAGGGCTCCTCCATACTCTTTGTAGGCTAAGAATGACGCAAGTGTTGCCGCATGCTCTCACTATGTAGGCCATCAATGAAGTAGGACTTGTTTTGATCTGGATCCTTTGTTGGAACACGACTAATCAAGCGAGTAAGCTTCTCAATATAATCCCCGAGCGTCATTTTCCCTTGCTGGAAATGGCGAAGTTCTGTACGAGCATTCTCCACATCGTAATGAGGGGCAAAACATAAACGGAAAGCAGCCTCAAACTCATCCATGGTAGACACTGGTGGTTTCTTATCCGCAACACGGGACTCCTCAAGCCAATTCCACCATCGAAGACCCACATCACGCAAAACCATCGGAATAGCCACTAAAGCCTCTGCATCTGGAGTTCCTCTAGCAGCCAAGAACTTCTTCACATTGGCTAGCCAAGCGAGACACTCGTCCACACCACCATCACCAGAAAAAGTTGGAATCTTGAGTCGATCTACCAAAGAAGGCTTACTTGGAGCTCTACCCCGTCCAGCCTCGAGTGCCTCAACACGCCCATGCATGGTATCCATCATGCCATGCATCTCGTCTTGCATCTCTTGCTGATTTTTATTAAGGGCTCGCAGCTCATGAACCACATCTTGAATGGTCCAAATCTCCGCAGCTTCGTCGGCACCATCGTCGGCACCACCATCGACGATAGGATTCCAGCGTTCAGCTTGGTCAGCCATCGCAACCAACTCCTCTGATACCAATGTTATGATCCGGCGCAAAAAGACAAAGATCTAGTTGCCCTAGACTATGCTATGCCACCTCTTGAGGTTCCTCACCACCCAACCACCCCCGAGCTACCTCAAAAGCTCCACTGCGCCGCCGCTCCACTGTGAGCCCTAGGGTAGGTTAAGTCCCTTACCCTAACATGCCTTAATATACCCTTGAGCCTCCCTTTGACCATTGTTGACCACGTAGTCAAAGCTGGCGCCTAACAACGGCAGCGCCGTTGCTGCGGATGAATCGGTCCAAGGAGTCGGAAATCTGCGTGATCGATAAGCAAGAAGAGTTATAGCAGCAAATTTCTCGAAGAAATACCTTCTTGTCGAAGAAATCAGTCCAGAAGCGGTGCTGTGCGCGGAGGAATGCATCCTGCGGCAAGAGTGGCGATGTTCCAGGCCAAACCTCGTCGATGTAGTGGACGATGATGGCCGACTCTGCGATGGGCTTGCCCTTGTGGATGAGAACCGGGACCTTCTTGTGAACTGGATTGGACTCGAGCAGGAGCTTACTCTTGTTACCCAAATCCTGGGGGAGATCTTCGTGCTCGATGCCCTTGAGCAACAGTGCAAGCTTGACTCACATGGAAAAGGGGCTGGGCCAAAAGCTGAGCAGTGTTACATCTTGATCGTGACAAGCCATGGCTAGATGAAAAATTGAGAAGAAAAGTTAGAAATGCAAATGGACTGAGGTTTAATTGGATGAAGGGTCACCTTTTATAACATGTCCCACACGGCTCTTCGACCAATTGCCAAGAAGGCAGACGAGAAGGCTGAAGGTAGTGTCTAAATAGAATTAAACTTCCAGCTAATAAGGAGGGAGTGCTAAACTTTCTGGACCATTGGATTTAGCCAATTGCAACCATCCGATGAGGGGGTTATTTTTTTAACCATGTCTTAGTGAATAATCACGCTAATGTTTGCTCCCGGCCAATGGGAGGCAGCCAAGCTACGTGGGGTGGGAGAGGAAGGCAACACATGTCGCATGCAAGGTGTTGATTGTCGAGCGAAGAAAGCACTGTGAAGAATAGGTTGCCATTGCTATTCCTGCTGGGTGATTGCTCGCCAGTTATCCAATGATGGAATAGTGTGAAGAGCAAGTTGACCATGATTACACCTATTGCATGTTGAGTGAATTGTTTTTGTTTTGTAATGTTTTTCTAGGGTTTATGACCTTGCTGCTGCTGCCGATTTGCAATCCAAATCTGAGGCGCTGTGTCAATGCCACTGGAATGAACCATGTCTTGGTACTATTTGTGTCCACACTTTCTTTTAATGTCTTCCAATTTACTTTCTTTTCTTCTTCTCAAATGCCAAGAGTTCATTTTTTTCCTGATTTGGTTTTTCCAATACTTTGTGGTGTCTTTGCTCTCGAGAACCCCATGGCAAGTTCTCACTTTTTTTCCCCCATCACTTGGCTTTTTTTTGTTCTGTTCTTCTTTTCCTAGATGAATATTTGAACCAAGAAGCAGAGAATGCAAAGACATTGTCTCTGCAACAGCACATCATATCCCCACCATGCTTCCAGAACCCTTTTTTTTAACACTGATATGTTTTTTGAGAGAGCTAGGTAGGGTATGTTGTTACTTTTCATTTTTCTTTCATAAATTTGGTATTCTCATATAGGATGTGTCTCCACTTTTGGCTCTTCATTGCGTTACCATGAGGAGTTCCATCAAATCAAGGTATTTGTGGTGCATAGAATTTGTATGATCTTCATTCTTACTCCACTGTCAGGAAATAGGATGAGGCAATTTTAGCTATGTTTATAAAGTTCTCAAAAGACTTGATGGCTGCCTTTATTCTGTAAAGCATTCCAATTGGCATCTGCTAAATGAGGGAGATCAGTTTGTCACTATATTTGAGAGATGATGGTATTGATTTGGCAAATTTTTCTCCTTGCAGAAGGAAAGCACTGAGAGAAGTTCAAGCACTTTTGTGTCTTAGTAAGTTGGCTTTTTTCTTTCAGTATTACCACTAGCTTCCTCAAAACTTATCCAGCTTCCAGGTTGCCATGAAAACGTAGTGCACTACTTCTCTTTATGGTTCAAGAATGACTTTTTATATATCCAAATAGAGCTGTGTGAGATGAATCTATGAGATGAGAGCCTTGCATGGACATTCACGGAGAAGAAGCTGATTGAGGTGATGTTTCAAGTAAGCAGCTCAATTCTATTCTTTTCTTATGAAAGCTCTTAAACACTTTCAAGCACTTACACTCGCATGGCCTCACTCACCTGGACGTGAAGCTTGACAAGATCTACATCTGCAATCATGTCTACAAGATTGGCAACTTAGGCCTTGCCAGTTGAATCAATGGAACCATTTCCATTGAGGATGGTGACTTGAGATATCTCCCAATGGAGTTCATCAACAATGATCATAGCCACCTCGACAAAGTTGACATGTTTTCCATGGGGGCGACATTCTACGAGCTCACAAGATGCTCGCCACCACCAGCATCTGGAAGGTAGTATCAAGCCATCCAATAGGGAAAGCTCACTCTTCTTCCTGGATTCTCTCTTGCATTCCAGAGCTTCATCAAGTCTCTGATGCATCCAGCAGCAAAAAATTGCCTCTCGGCTACTCAAGCGCTCAAGAATGCACTCTTCAAGAAGTCTATCAGGAGTTGCTGAACTTTCTGGGTTGCCGGATCCAGCCAATCGCAGCCGTCTGATTGGGGGAGGGGGGGGGGGTAACATCAGGGCGTTGCAATGGGGCATCAGACCAAAGAGGAGCTGCGCCTCATCAAGATTGCTGCTCCTCATGTAGCCAGAGATGATTGCATTCCATGCCGCCACTATTACATGACACACCTTGCTATGTAGACATTAGGGTTTTCCTGTTCTGTCCGCTAGCACGGTGCGCTTTGATCCCGATTTGTCTCATGGTATTGGAGCTAGGATAGCACTATGGAAGGAAAACCATCCATCCACGAGTTTGATGGAGAAGGGTTTGAGGGATTCAAGATCCATCTTGAATCCTATCTCTTGTTTCATGGTTTGTTGGGGATTGTAGATGGGATAGAGTCATCACCGGCTCTAGGCTCTAGTGCTGTCGAGGTGCGTGATTGGAACCTTCGGGATTCCAAGGCTAGAGGGAGTATTGTGATGTGCTTGTCCTTGAATGTTCTCTTTGTTGCCCCATCGATTCCAAAGTCCACTGCGGCAGAGCTCTGGAAATGGCTGAGTAACACCTATGGCAAGAGTGAAATGGATGTCTTCAACATCCATTCACAAATGGATTCCTTGACGCTAGAGGAAAATGGCAATATCCAGACTCACATTGCCAAGTTCCAAGGCTTCTTCACACAACTTGCGGCTGCTGGGGCAAAGCACTGTCTCACGGATGAGCAGCAGAGGCTGCAACTCTACAGGTCCTTACCAACTAGCTGGAAGAATGCAGTTAAGAGCCTGCTTCTCCAATCAGGGATGACTTGGGCAGATGCCGTGAGGAGTCTTCACAACATTGAGGCCATGCGAAGTGAGAGAGCTGAAATGCCATAGGCTATGTATGCTTCGCAGGCTTCTGGTGATGCTAAGGTGGCAAAACTGCATACAGCTGCAAATGCCTAGAAAGGGCAAAATTCCGTGACATCTGGGCGTGCCAAGCCCAAACTTGCTAAGAATCAATGTGCTCGCTGCTTGGAGATGGGTGCTTGAGATTGCCCTACTCCCAAGCCTGTCAAGTGACTAGCTACGCCGGCAAATGCCAATCTGCTCGAGTGTGATGGAATTGCTACAGCAAATTAAAGAGCTCTACAATGCAGAGGCAATTGCAGCACCAAGCCAGTGGCTTTTAGACTCTGGTTGTACTAATCTTATGAGCAATAAGAAGAACCTTTTTGAGTGTTATCAGCTGAGTATTGGAAAACATGGTGTTCATTTAGGTGACAATACCACTACCCCCATGGAAGGCATCAGGCAATTTTGACTCTCACTTGATCATGGGAGGACCATGGCCTTTGATGGTGCCATGCACGTTTCCACCTTGCGACGAAACTTAATATCTGTCGCCAAGATATGTGATCAAAATGTAGTCGTAGTCTTTGATGCAAAGGGAGTCTCTTTGGTTGACTCTAGCGATTTTCATATGCTTGGTACACAGTTGCTTCGTGGGTCACGCATTGAGGACTTGTATGAGATTACTGCTGCTGACCCGGTTCAGGCCTTTCAAATTGTGGAGGTAGATTCTCGTGTGGAGCTTTGGCATAAAAGACTTGGTCATGTTCATTACCAATCTCTTCAATGGATGAAATCCCAAGATATTGTTACTGAATTGGATTTCAAACATATCCCATCTACATTTTGTGAAGCTTGAGTTTCAGGCAAACATCACCACTAGAATTTTTCGCCAAGTAAGTATCGAGCACTTGGACTTCTGGACTTGGTCCATTCTGATCTTTGCAGCCCCATGGATGTGCCAAGTCATGATGGCGCAAGATATTTCGTCACATTCATTGATGACTATAGCCATCGAACATGCATCCACTTCTTTGTGAGACACAAAATCCCTAGGCCCCAAAGTGGAGCCAGAAAGGGTGCCACATGATAGCGGCCGAAGCGAAAGCCAAACGAGTGTAACACATTTAGACTAAAAGCTCTGACTTGGAAGGTCAAGAGCGGAAGTGGAACTCCCAACAAAGTGCTCAAGGAACGAGCACGAAGCAAGCAATAAGCAAGGCTCCAAAAAGGGACCCAAAAAGGACCAAAACATAACACGTGGAAGTGTCCAAGATGGAGTCCGAGGCGGACCTGAGTTGGAGTCCGAGATGGACCCGAAGTGGAGTCCGATATGGAGTCCGAGATGGAGTCTGAGATGGACCCAAAGTGGAGTCCGAGATGGAGTCCGATATGGAGTATGAGATGGAGTCCGAGATGGACCGGAAGTGGAGTCCGAGATGGAGTCCGATATGGAGTCCGATATGGAGTCCGAGATGGACCCGAAGTGGAGTTCGAGATGGAGTCCAAGATGGACCGAGATGGAGTCCGAGATGGACCGAGATAGAGTCCGAGATGGACCTGAGATGGAGTCCGAGATGGACCCGAGATGGAGTCCGAGATGGACCCGAGATGGAGTCCGAGATGGAGTCCGAGATGGAACCGAGACCGGGACCGAGACCGAGACTGAGATCGAGACCGAGACCAAGTCCGAGTCCGAATCCGGAACCAAGACCGAGTCCTAGTCCGAGTCTGAGTCCGAGTCCGAGTCCGAATACTAATACAGGCAGTTGGGTGAAAGCCCAAAGCGATCGTCCCCCAGGGGGGCTGCGGGGGTTTCCAAAAGTATAGTAGGGAGAGTGTGGGGGTTGGAGCCCAGTGGAGCCAGTTTGGCCAGGAAAGGCCAGTTTGGCCCAGGAAGGCCAGACCCAGTGTTGGGTGATGAGTTGACCACTGGGAAGTCCAAGACTAGATTGAACATGGACCGACAAGCGGGGTAACTTGGTGAAGTGTTCAAGAGCAGGCTCTAGTTCCCCCGGGAGATCGACTGGCCAATGCTCCCAGTCCAAGTGTGGGTGGCACTACCTACTTGGATACTAGGTGTGGCTCAACGGAACCTCGCTCTAAGCCCATGGCTAGAGCACCCAAGGGTGGAAGGCGGGGAGAGTACCCAGGTGGCTCGCGTAAGGCCATGGTGTTCCAAAATGTTGTCCCCAAAGGCCCAGACTGTGGAAAGGAAGAGGAGCAGTCCTCTGGGGTAGTGACCAAGGACACAGTCGTATGGTGAGGAAGTCCCAAAAGACCGTGGGACTTAGTGGTCGGGCCTGTGGGCCTCTATCCAGTGGCAGTATTGGCAAACACGGCCAGGGGTAGAAAGGGACTTAGTGGGGACTGACAGAGGGATATTGGGGAAGGCTATTCCCCTTGTCGGTGGGCATCCTAAGGATGCTAAGGAGTGGATCTGAGATGACCACTCACGGATGGTTTGCCTAGTCTTGGAGAGCCAAGATTGGGATGCATGTGGTATTGGACTACCAGTGTGGCAAAGGTGATTGGGCATGGCCTTAGTGTGACAAGCTGCCATGTCGGTGGTACCTTTGAGTGTCGGTCATGGGATTGGACACGTGGAGCACTTGGACCAAGTGCAAATGTTGAGTGGCATGGATGCCATTCTCGGGGCTAGCAAGTCCCAAGTCCTAAATTGGACTTATGGAGGTTGTGAATGAGACTCCTCCAAGTGGTCGGAGGTGTGGTTAAGTGACTAAAGTAGAATGTAAAATTTAGTTGCTTACAATTTGGTATCGGAGCTGTTCCTTAGTCTGACTTTTATTGGTGCTTAAGTATATCACCATTGATGTTGGCATCGGAAAGTCCTAGGAGTGCGCTTATCCTTGAGGAGTAGCATGTCGAGAGGACATGGCTCTCCACTCAAGTTCATGCGTGAACTTGGGCACAATGTGGTGGATAGAAAAGGGCCAATAATGGAACGACTTCGGGATCTTGGGAACAGTATAAGGTTTCCTCAGAGAGCTGAGGATGTGATCCAAATGAGTGTTTGACGTAACAAACGGGCTAACATAGTCGTGATAAACAACTATAGTTGGGATCACGGGAAAGATAAAGACTCCAAAGCAATAAAGGAGTCACAAAATTATCCTCATAAAGTTGAGGTTGGTGCTCATGAATGTGAGACCAGAAGTAATGACTGTGGGAGATCAAATACGGAAGAGGACTCAAGTCCTTGAAATGGTAGCCAGGGCTACCTTTAATAAATGCTGGAACAACCCAAGGAGTTGGGGGGTGTACTTAGAGATGAGTTGGTATTCTCATCACATGGACAAGTAGTCCTAAGGGGCAAAGGTTGCCCCAGAGAACAAAATCAAGTGTCAGAGTAACACTTGTGAAAATAGTCCTTGTGAGTGAGGACATGAATGCAAGAAGTGTATTTCAGTGAGCTAGTGCCCGACAAGTAGGACCTTACAGGTCTGTGGATTAACCAAGTCTAAAACTGCTGGATGACTCAAGTAAAGTCAAGGAATGATCCTAAAGGACTGATGGAAGCATTTGGACTGAAGTGTGTGGTATCCCACGAAGGATGGGGGGGATCATAGGATCCAAGGATGAGAACAGAGGGTATCTCATCGATGGCAAAATGTGCCATGCTAAAGTCGTGGGAAGGGTGTTCCCAAAAGAAAAAAACTTTGAAACAAATTTGTGTGTGACCTCTATGGTGCAGTACTAACGGATGGTTGTCATGAGAAAGAGTGGTATTGGTCTTGGCAAAGACTTAGACACAAAGAAGAAGTGTCATAGAGGTAGGCTCGTGGAGCTAATGG